CACCAGTGATGTTGAGGGAGGACTCAAGGCAGGAGAGAAGAATGGTGTGGTTGATAGTGCCAAAGGCTGCAGTGAGGTCCAGGAAGATGAGAATATTGAGGTGACCAGAGTCTGCGGAAAGGAGGAGGTCCTTCGTGACTTTGAGGAGGGCTGTTTCTTCTGTGCTGTGTTGTGAATGGAAACCGGATTGAAATGGTTCAAACAGGACGTTGGAAATGAGGTGGGCTTTGAGTTGAGACGTAACAACACGTTCCAGCATTTCTGACAGAAAGGGATGATCGGAGATGGGCCAGAAACTGCTTATTATGTTAAGGTTAAGACCAGGTTTTTTGAGGATGGTGGTGACAGCAGCCAGTTTAAGTGGAACAAGAGTGTTTTGGTTTTAATGGGATTGAGCTGGTGGAGACAAGAGGAGAGTGTTTTATTATAATAGTTGACAAGATGGGTGGTATTATCAGACATTAGGGGAGGGGAGGCAAATATTTTACTAGCAAGCAAGGCTGAAAGAGCTGCGGGGGATAGAGATTTAAGATTTTTAAAGGATATCTTGCGTTTGTCTTTTGTGATGGGGGTGAAAAGTTGATGTATGTGACCATGGCTGTGGGTGGGGAAGCTGATGTGCTGAGTGAAGTTGAAGCATTGTAGCAGTTCCAGGAAATCTGTGGCAGATTTACAGTCAGAGTTATCAATTCGGATATTGAAGTCACCTATGAAGAGAACAGAGGGTAAGATGGCACATAGTTGGGTCAGGAAATCAGAAAGGTCAGGAAGAAATGAGGGGTTTGGTTTGGGGGTGGTGGAAGATAACAGCTGTGACCAGGGGAGTGGGACCAAAGAGTTTGAAGGCAAGGTGTACAAAAGAATAAGCAGCAGGAATGGAAATGGCAGAAACACCACCCCCCGGCCCTCAGGGCGAGGTTTATCAATGTATGTGTATTCTGTCAGAGTGCTCTGGTTTAGTGAGAAATAGTCCAGGAGTTTGTGCCAGGTTTCAGTGAGGCAGAGGAAATCTAGGTTATTGTCAGTTATAAAGTCATTCAGAATGGGGCTTCTATTGTTGAGTGAACGAGTGTTGAGTATGGCCAGTTTAGGCGATGTTGCTTTGTGATGGGTTGTGAGGACCGAGGAAGGAGATGGAGATTGGACAGATTCACATGCTGTTTGTTGTGATGACGTAATGAGGAAGTTGCGGTGAGATGAGACCAGAGGGATGGGATGGAGTTAGGGACTTGAAGGTGTAAGTAAACAAACGACCAGAGCCTTTGTGTGTAGGATGGCGATGTCTAGAAATCCTCTTTCTTTGAGAATGTGCATGCGGTCCGGTCGGATGTTGTTACGTTTATGAAGATCTCAGGCGGAGTATAGCAGCGGCATGTCCTGAATGGAGAGCGCTAGCCCAGAGCTAGGGTTGGCTTGTTTGGAGAGTGCTAGCACAGAGCTAGCGTTGACTTGTGACCAAAAGCACAAGGTGTCGAGGGTAAGAAGAAGCAATATGCACCCCAGGACTGTCTACAGGACAGTCCACAGCATTACAGCGACAGGAACCAACAGCGCGTTGAGGAGGCGAGATGGAATAGCCTTGCACCTGCCTTGAGGATGGAGGTCAACCTGGTGCCATGGTGGCTAGCGGAGAAAAGCTGAGGACGGCTGTGACTCAGAGGCAGAGCGGGTTGTCCACTAATCGGAAGGTTGTTGGTTCGATCCCTGGCTCCTCCTGCCTGACCTCACAGTGTCTCCCCACAACAAATAAACTGGCCAGCTTAAATGTTAAAGGATTACTCAAACCTACTGTTCCAAAACATCCCCCTCACAACAGCTCAAAAGAGGGTGACAAACGGCAGTATAAGGACACTGAGCGCAACCGCCGTGTCCACCAACTGCATCGAGATAGGCATTCTCAAAGCAAAAACTGTAGAAAGCTGTACGATTGACTTTTCAGATGATGACTGCAACATCTCTGATCATAGTTCAGAACATGCTCATATTCAACCAGACAGTGACAGTGCTGATGAATGTCTCTCTGCCTCTGGCTACTTTAACTACTAATAGTGATTTTGGTTATAGTTATTCATTTAATTATTAATCCGATTTCTAAATTAATAGTTTAGTGTATTTT